ATTGTTTAATTAAATAAATATGTTTTTTTTTGTACATATGTTTTATATATTATTATTCACAATAGCACAAATACTTTCCATTATTTTTCACCACATATTATACATCACTAACTTTTTTAAATATTATTTTTTATAATATAATTAATTATATTATTCTTTTATTTTATTATTCATACATAATATTTTAATATTTGCAAAATATTGCAACAATTTTTTTTAATTTTTTGTCGAAATTTGTTAGTTTCATAACATTTAAAATGTTTATATGAATATATATTTACATAAGAGACGTAGTTCTTACTATTCTTTTAGTGAGAATGGCTATGAAACTATTTTTTCTAAAAGTGCAAGACATTAAACCTTTAACTGTCTAAAACTTTAACTTTAATTTTTTCGCAACTATATAATCTTGCTAACATTGGCTATACTACGCTAGATAGATGGCCATCAACTGGAATATATCATGGATATATTAAAATAAATATAATAATTTTGCAAAGTTTCGCTTTAATGTTAATGACACTTAAATATTGACATAATTTTATATACTGATTTTTTTATTTTTTGTTTTTGCTAAAATATTGTTTAGTTAGCAATTATTGAAATTTTACTAAAAAATGAAACTTATTAACTTGTTAAATAAATTGGACTATTTGTTTATGTCGCAAAAGACTAAAAGAAATATATACCACACATAAATGTCTATAAATATGTTTGGGCTTGCATAGGTGCAGAAAAGCAATACCACTAGGAGTAGCATAATAAATATTAAACTATAAACAAAAAAAAATTAAATATTTTGTCCAAAAATAGCAAAGTCATCACCAAAAAAAAAAAAAGAAAAAAGAATAACATTACTCAAAATAAAAAAGACAAATTACTGAATAAAGAAAAATACATCTTGGAGATAATTTGGAAGTTTCGCGCACATAAAACAAATTAAAGTGAGTTCATTTTTGAAATCTTCAAGACATTGGCTAGGGAATTTCCTATACATTATTCATTCACGCAAATACGTTGTCGTAAATATTATGACGTTTTGGTGTAATTTATTTTAATTTGATTAAATAAAATTATTTTCTTCTCAAATTAATAAAATTACGTGCCGGTGACTTATTACTTGGCGGTAAATTGCCAAAAATAAAACAACAAAAAATCAAAAAAAAATAAAAAAACAATTTGTTGCCAATTAAATAAAAAGAAAGCCAAAATGTGCACAATGTAAATATAATTAATTAGCTTGTTTTGTTGACGTTTTTTTTTGATTTGCGGCCAATTACGAAAGGGCTTGTACCTTTGAAACCAACAACTAAAAAATTAGTGGGAGATAAATATTTTTTTGCTGGCCTATAAACTCATAACAAATTTATTGCAGCTAAAAAATACGCACACACAAAATTTGTTCAGAGCGGAGGTATTATCTATATGAGAAGTATCTTATCTGCATAAATTGGGGATTGGTGTTGTTTACAGCCCATGCACTTACGCATACCCAAGCAACGATGTTGTAATCTGACAGTTGATGATCTGTCGCACAATATTTTTATTCAATTTAATGGTCATTTTAATTTACAATTTTAAATCTATTTTGTGATTTTTTTTCTTTAATTTTGTCATTTACTTTAGAAAAGAGACCACATGAGACTACACTACAACTGCGATGGACAGTTAAAATGTAAACAAACCAGCATCTTTACGTAGTGACTGCATGCGAAGGGCATTTTGGTTTTTTGGCTTTTTGACATTGTATTTGAATGTTTGTATCTTGGGTTTTTAGTAGCGTTACGTTCATATCTTCCTTCTCTACGATTTTTCGTATCTGACGGTACAATTTTTAAAATTTAAATCATAACGAAAATATAATAAACACTTTATTAACATAGATGCGTGAACGTGTAATTTTCGGAAATACAGTGGCGGCTTATGCAGATCGCAATGAGAATATTTTGATATGACTTTTATTGATATTGGCTTTTATTCAATTTTTAGTTGTATATTTAATTGTATATACGGTAATTAATTTACAGTAATTGATAAATATATAAACCCATATGATATTGATTATTTAAATATGTAGTTTCGTTCATGGCATTACTTTACACAATTACTGAGTTTATTTCTATAAAAATAATTAAATAATAAAAATTATGAATTAAAACGGATTTTATATATTTATATATATTATAAATTATTATATATATTATATATTATTTATTATAATTTCAAATTTTTATGTAAAATGACCAGAATTCTAATGGAAATAAAAAAAAAAGAAAAAAGAAAAAAGTGAGGAAATTTTTTTAATTTCGAAAATTTAAATTAAATTTGATTTTAACGTCAGTTATAATGGGAGTGACTGTTTTTGCAGTCTCAAAAAATTAGTTACGAATAATTAAATATAAGAAATAATTCCAAGATCACTAATGATGGGTATTTGGCAATGCACGAAACAAGCAAAAATCTGAACAAATAAAAATTAATTATAATAATATAATAAAATTTTTTGTTGTTGTAGCTCACCTACTTTTCGATACCTTTCTACTAAATAAAAATAAAATAAAAATTTTTGTTGTTGCAATTCAGTACTGTTCGAAACCTATCGCAAAATTTAATTTTTAAGCAAATGTATTCAATGGTGTTGTTTCAGATACTGCTTAATATAAATAAGCACTTGTTCTTGGAATTATCTATTGGTTTGATTGTCAGTATTACATTTTTTGGATTACTTGTATTAGAAATCAAATATAAAACCTACGTATACTTAATTTGCTTTATTCAAGTTCTGTTTTTTCTGTCAAAACAACAATTGCAATTTCTGTGCTACTTTTAAAATTAACACATAAACCACAGCTATATAAAGCTATACTAATTATACAAAGTTATGCCTTTTCTAAATGTTCGTAGAAAATGTTTCTGAGTATCTTCTTTAATTTTTGTTTTTTTTTTATAATTTAATGAAAATGTTTATTATATTTTATTTTTTATAAAAAATTACTTATATTACAAGTGTACAAAAATAAACAAAAAAATGGATTTATTGAAAATTAAAAAATCACATTTTTAATATTGAGTTAATATTCATTAAAGAAGATAATATTGTACTAAAAAATTATTGAAAAAGTGAGAATAATCTTAAATATCTTTTAGAAATAAGGAAATATGTAAATTATAAAAGATTATAAATAAAAAACAAACAAAAATTGTTGCTAACTATGTTAATATGGAAATATCAGATGGAGCAGCGTGTTGCGGTTTTTATAAACCTTTTGCACTGATATCAAGTGGAAAAAGAGATAAACTGATAATATTATAATTATATTACTATATTATAATTTAGTTACATTTTTTACATATTTAAGCTGCGAGCCTATGGCAATGACTTTTAAAATAGTCTAATCTTGATATTATTTGAATTTTTACCTACATTTTGTAAAAGATGGCAATTAAATAATTAAGCTAGAAGACTAGTTTAGAAGATCAGTAACTAACTGAAATACATAACACATATTTATATAGAAATAAATATATTTAACATAATTATGTAAAATTTAAATACATATTATGCTAATAGTATACAAATGTTGAGACAGTTTCGTCCACTTTGTTTTTTAGCAAACTTTAATATAAATATTCATATATTTATCTTTATACATATAAAAAATGACATTTCTTTTTTAATTTTTCTTCGCATATTTTTTGCTGGGAAAAAATATGTAAAATATAATTTTTATATAATATTGAGCCCTTTGACATTAAGTAACATTAAGTAGTTGCACTCGTAACGTCACTGGCTTAGTCTAGCTTGCAACCAATGGCCAATAGCCAATATCGCAGCAAGTCAATTACTTGTGCACGTTCAATGAAAATATTCGTCTAGAGAAAATGCGCAACTATATACATTTTATTTCTTTACAAATTTGAGTTAATAATTTTATGGTATTTGTTGTTGCTTTTCTTCTTACTGATGATGCTGTTGATGCTATTGATGCTATTGATGCTATCGATCACATGTGTTATTTTGAACTACATAAACAATTTAAGACACAAAATTTTATTTGATTATTTTGTTAGTTAAATTTAATATTGAATTTTGGATTTTACATTTTTTCATATTATTTTTTTTTTTTTGATATTGATTTGTTTAAACTTTTAATAATCAATGTGTATGAATTTAATATGTTTGAGACTCAAATTGTAGTTTATGCGAATAGTTTATTAGTTATTTGTGTATGCGGTCGGTAATTTGATAGATATGCTGATTAAATATTTCGCAAGAAAATAAATTTCATTTTTGTAATATTTAAGATATGTTAGGTAATATGCAAATTGATTTGAAACGGTTACAAACATTACTAAAGCTTTGCAGTACATAATAAACAAGATTATTTAAAATGAAAAAATTCGCTAAAAATTTCCTTTTCGAAAATAAATAGTATATTATTAATATAATATAATTATTTTTTAATTATTCTAGCATAGAACTTCTAATATCAATACACATGCCTCGAATTGTTCCTTAAAAATAATAAAACTGAAAATAAATTTTGATTAGCTCACAACTCCTTTCTAAAAATAATAGTATTTTTATATGTTATTTTTATGAACCATAACTCTTTATACAAACACTTGAAGTAGTAACTAAATTTTTTTAATTTATGCAATATTTTCATTAACTTTTTGTGTAGAAAAAACAGCACTCATACGCAGTGTTAGTTTCTTCAAAAACTTACTGAATAATAAATTTTTGATTAAATCCCATAGATACAATATACATCGCTTTTATTTAAAGTTAATTATTTTGTCAAAGTTACACTTCTTATGACGACAAAGAAACTATTTTTTTTAAGTTAGAAGGATAAAATAAAAAATTGAAATAAAAGACAAACATGCATTCGTTTAGAATAGATAAATTTGAAATTTTACTTTAATAACAAAAGTTTCAATAAAATTAGAATTTTTTTCTTAAATACAATAAAAAATATTTCACATTTAATACTTGCCTACAGAAGATAAATCGTTTTCTTTATTTGCGAAGCTTAACTAAGTTTTATTTTATTATCCTGTAATTAAAATTTTTTGAAATTTAATTTTATATTAACAAAAACACTAAAAAATTTTTACACAAATATTTAAAGTTGCTTTTAAACACAATAATTTTTTTTACTTCAGTTCACAAGAATAAAAATTTTTATTTTATTTTATTTATATTAAAGCCGCACTATTATAAAAAAATAAATAAAATATCACTTTAATTTTAATTTTAATTTTTATTATTTTAAGTCCGTTCAAAAATTCTTACTTCGCTTTGTGATTTCAAATTTACTCAAGATCTTCACTTCTTAACGGTACGAATAGCTTCCACAGACTAAGTTTTGATCCGGTGCGACGAACCGTCTTCTATGATTTGCTCCGATCTTGGGTGACTGCAAGCTGTGCTTGTATTCGTGCTTAATAGTATCTTTGAGATCTTGTACCTTTTGTGCTTTATAGCTTCATAGCTTTACACGATCGTTGTGTGTGTTGGCACATGTTTCTTGAGGTTTTTGTAGCACATTTGCATTGAATGTGTATGTGGAGTTTAGCATATGAGCGGCTTTATGCAAACAAGAGAAACAATTTTGCTTTGTCAATGATTTCTGGTCGCTGTTTCGCATAGTCGAGTATGTTTCAAAAACAAGACGATTTTTTAAATTTATAAAATGTTAAAGAGTTTTTTCTAAAACACGGAAAAAATTAAAAATTGGAATTTTAGGTGAAGTTCAAGTCAAGAACGAACGGTTTAATCTTAATTTAAATAAAATATAAAATATTTAATTATTTCAAATTTGCGGTAAATTTTTTTTATTTATATATAAAACAAATAAAAAAATTTGGTTTTAAATATTTCAACTTTTGAGAGTATTTCAAATAAATTTTTAATTATGGCATAAATATATATTAGATAGTGAAAGAAAGTTACTAATTACACTTCAAAATTCCACATTCTTTTTATACTTAAGAAATTACAACTGATTAAAAGTTTGTAATTTACTAACTAAATATAAAAATTAACAGTTAATAAATATTGTAATTATGATTTTAAATTAAAGACAATAATAAATTGAATCTAAGAAAAACATAGTTATTAATATATATAAGAAAAGCACGAAATGTAATATGACAAGAAAAAACTCATTTTAATTGATTTTGGAAAGTAAAGGGTATTTAAATCGTAACATTTTTTCTAGGAGAGGCTTTACAGCAAAACTAATGGAGCTTTTAATAAGGTACAGATAACAGGTAAGTAAATAAGTAAGTAAGATAAGTGCAGATAAGTAAATAAAAAATGTAGTCATAATATATTTTTTACGAATTAAGTCCCCATTATAAACTCCAGGAATTTATTTTCTTCAATAAGTTTTGGAGAGTAACAAATTTTATTAAAGAAATTGAAGTTATATCTAAAAAACATTTCTCTTGGATTGGAATGGGAGTAGGGCGTTATAGAGTAGGGTGTTATATCTAATAAAGATTTCTCTTGAATTGGGTTAAGATAGGAGTAGGGCTTGGATAGGAGAAGTGCTAAGATAGGTGTCGAAAGAATTGGTCATCTTTGAATCAATGCTATAGAAGATACAGAAAAAAAGAAGAAAAGATGACAATTGATCTCTTTCTCTGTAGATCAAGACGCAAAAAAGAGTTCAGTGGACATCATTCATATTGACCTTAAAGAAGTAAACTCCTTTATAATAAATTATAATTTACCCAAATTAACTTTGAAAAGTCATCGTATGTTATATCTGCGGTAATATAGTAACAACACGGCTTAATAGGCTATAAGCACAACGTCTAGTAAATAAGGGAGTTAATTTTACTTCCTATTGGCGAATTCAAATAAGCTTTCTATTGAATAGTTTTAGATTTACTCTGTTAAATTCTGTACTATTGTGTATCGCGTAAAACTAACTAAAATTAAAGTAAAAGACCATAATGAGAAGCATATAATAGCTAAAAGATGAAATGAATATACATACATGTATCTCTTGAATCAAGAGATGTCGTTAAGTTTATCAATAACCTTATTAGTCCGTATAAGTTCAAGCGACTCTTATCAGGTGTATATAGTATAGTTCGGAGTATATTATTATTTATTATAATAACAAAATGAAAAGGATATAATAAAAGATATAAAGTAATAAAGAGAACAATATGTAAATTTTCGTTAAAATTATAAATTTACAAGAGTAATTAAATCATGCTCTAGTCATTACCATCAATATTAACTTACTTATTGACATTGACATTTTTATTTCACGATAAAATACAACTTTAAGAAATAGTTATGAAGTAGAACTTTTAACTCTACTGTTGCATGCCGCAAGTGTTCAACACAGCTTAAATGTTTATATTAAAGTGGATAACGGTAGATAATAAATGAGTTTAAATAAACAACAGTTAAAGTGCCAGCCAATTTTACAAAAAAAAAAGGAGTTTAAAATAAAAAAATAAAAAAGGATATGAAAAAAGTGCTAGATAATTGCATGTTTAGAAATACTCTATGTAAAATAGTTAAATAGCTAAAAAAGAAATAAGTGCAAACATTGGCATCTTCAGTATAAATTTTTCGGATACTGAACATATGTTTACCAATGTTTTTGCAAAATTTGAAGGAAGAGAAGAACTTTTATTTGAATATTATTTAATTGCGCTCTAATTCTTATTAAGCGAGTGATACAGATGGCTTTTGTTACTTTATGTATAATAATAATGTCTTAATAAGAATATCTCCTTATTAATATCTTTTTAATAAGAAAAAAAATTAATAATTTGAAATAATTTCATATGTAAAAAATAATATTTAACTGTAATAAAATATAGAAAAGATTTTGTGCTACAAATTGGCAATGTAAATAAACTGACGTATTCGAAGAAGGAAACTCATGGAGATAATAACTAAGAAAGGCTGTAATTCTGATTGTAAGATATCAATGACGATAATGATGATGATGATTCTGTCGATTATTAGTGATATTAAGATAGATATAAACTTAAATATTCCTAAATATAAAATGTAGAAAAATTTGCACAATAAATCGAAAAACTAGTTAGTGAGTTCAAGAGTAATTTAGCTATAAACTATTGTAAGTAATAACAAAGTAATAAAGGAAAACATTAAAATACAAAATATTTAAACATCAGTAATGATAATTAGTGCTAAATTATTTAATAATATCATCAATTTATATTAATATATCTAAACTCCGTTTATTTATTGGGCAACTAAAAATATTAACATTATTAACAAAACTACTAACATAACTAACTACAAGCGATGATAAGAGTTTAAGATAAAACACTTGATTTTTTCATAAGAGAGGACGAAAAATAATTGTTTATTAGCAATTTAAGCATATCTATTCAGAAAAATGCATTTAGCAAAAAGCAACAGTTCTACCTACCAATTAAGTGCATGAATAACGAGAAATTTGCATAACACATTGATTCGATTTTGGTATCTCAATTTGCAATGAAGTAACAATGAAAACTTGACAGGCAGCTCACGTCATAACGTCTTGAGCGGCTTTGTGGTTCAGTACTGAGCACACGACTATACTCGTATTCCATTAGCAATAATAACCGCAAATAACAATGCAGTAGGCATGCAGTAAATATTATCGTGATTTACCATGTATCTGGTTTATAGTGTGAATAAATCTGAGAATGTGTTTTTTTTTTGGAATATTTTCACTTTTCTTTCATTGAAGAAGCATTTATAATGCTAAATAAATTTAGATTAATAGAATATTGATAAACAATTTATTATCGAAAAAAAAATACATTAAAAAATATTTAATAACAATAATATTAGATTAACACTTTACATAAAAAAATAAATTAATTATAATTTAGAGCAATAGTTTATTAACACTTTATGATAGAAATTTCATAAATGCAGAAGAAACTTTAAACCATCAAAATCAACAAAGTTGAAATAGTATTGAAAACAGATTAATTTAATAATAACTTTAAATGTTAAATAAAATAATAATATTATTAGATTATTTATTTCTTATTATTATTATTATGTTGAAGATAGTTGAGTCAGTTCATTAGAGCAGTTTTACTCTCAATTAACTGGGAGGTTTTTTCATAACCCCTCTATACACCTTGACTGGATTATTGTTTATCACTTCATCAGACTAAGCAATAATTGACCTCAGATCTGCAAACCTTCCCGAGGAGCCTGTAACAAATAAAATTAAAAATAAAATTGATAATTCCGTAAAAACGTTGAAAATATTGTATCTGATGACTGATGAGAGTTGATTTTAATTCGTTTTGTTGGTGGCAGAGCTTCCTTTTCCATACACGCAAACATAAGATTTAAATTGAAGTATTTATAAGGCGGTATAGACAAGAATTGCAATATAACTAAGTAATCAAGCAGATATTAAAGCTTAATTTAAAATTAAGCTTTAAAATAATTAATAACATTGAAATATAAAAACAAATGCTTTAAGGTATTTATTGCTGACAAAAATATGTTAAATATTTTAATCTCTATGACTAATTATACTGTTAAACATATAAATACATTAATTGAATTTATAATTCAATAGCATTTAAATAAATATAACACTTCAATATTAATAATGCTTTAGTATTGAAATATTTTCCGTCTCTTCATGAGATATCACATTGCGAAACTAATAAGATTTTAGTTCTATTTTTTATTGATCTAACCAGTTTATTTTGAGTCCTCGTTGATGATCTTATTTATATTTTAATGTATATTATGCAATCGTAAAATGCCATAAATACGATAAATAAGTACACGCTCCCTTATACTTATATCTTTATGGCAACTGGTAATTCCAATGAAGTTGCATTTATTTTATGAAATCTTTTTATATCTTTTGCAAAGCTACAAAAGAAGACCAAAAATAAAATGTGCGAATTATAAACTTAAGATAAATAAAAATTTTAAAAAAATTTTCACAAACTGCATTCACAACGCCATCAGCCACACGAAAATGACAAGAAGTAAATTAAGGCGCAGATTAACACACATGAGACAATGTGCACAAAAATTTAATGCAATTTTGCAGCTAAGATCAGACTCACCTACTCGCAAATGCAGTCAGTACCTACTAGATACTATAAAGTATATAGTATGCGACGTTAATTACTCATGCGGTACTTGATGAGTTCGCAATTTTACGGTTGCAACTACAGCCTTCAACTAAAAGTTAAGTTACATTTTTGTTATATCTTGATATTTTATTTTGATTTTCGATTTTCTTTTCATTCTTTACTATATTTTACAGGTATTTAACACTTTTACTTTGCAAATATATTTGTTAAAATTTTTTTTTAAATATATTATTAACAATTCACAAAATTCAATATAACCACAAAACGATCGGCACGTTGATTCATTGCTTTCCTTATCAGTAAAAAGTTTATAGTATAATATTACGTATTCTTAAAGTAAACAAAAAATGTTGATAAATAGT